ATATATATAAATAATAATAATAATAATAATATATATATGTTAACTCTCTACCACCACCAGAAATATGATCTTATGGTAGTCACATTTTACTTTTTTATTATATAGTAAAAAAAAGAAAAAATAAATGATGATGATATTTAACGCTTATAATTTCTATTATAATTAAATTATAGCGATTAAAAAAAAAGTTTTTTATGTACTAAGAAATTTGCTAACCGTTAAATATATTGATTCTTCAAGCATAGTTGTATCAAATAAATCGTTTTCAAAATATATTTATTATAATAAATAAAATGCTACGAAGAAAAACTATAATAGTAGAAAAAATCGAAAAAATCTGACAATTATATCATCTTGTCATTTATTTTAAAAAGTAAATTTAATTTTTTTTAAATTCATTTTATCAAAAATTAGTCATATTACCACAATATATTTTTTAAATGTACCTATTCATACTTAGTTTTTTGAGTTCTTAAACTTTAAGACTGCAACACTAAACAGTTTAAAAATATTGATAGTTATTGTTTTTCCTCATAGCCCTTTAAACATTTCGTTTAATTTGTGTTCCATTTAAAGTAAATGTTCTATAGTAAAGACTATCGATAATTATTTTTTAAAGGATATCTGATATTAGATTTTATTCTATAATTGTCTTCACCACAAAAGTGATAAAACCAAGTTTTTTCGTTTAATATTTAATAGTTAGAACTTATGTTTTTATCAAAACTGAATCATATTTTAAAATTATGTTTTACCATTTAAAAGCAAAAAAAAACACAGAATATTTTTAAGTATCGTGACGGCAAAAAACATTCAAAATTTCACAATTTTTTAAATATTGATTAATGATAAAGTAAATAAACTTTTGATTCAATAACGACTTCAAGTTAAAAAAGTTATTGCAAAACCAATACCACATATTTATAATATACTCAAAATCAAATACAATGAACAACTTTTCTTATTGAAAATAAAAAAAATTCACTGTAATAATAATAGTTTTAATAAAAAAACACAACAATTAATATCGTTAATAATTATTATGATATGAATTCTCATATGACATTACATATATCTTAATATTGTACGATTAATTCACAATAACGTTAAATATTGACTTCTAGGACGGATATTAATGAAAGCTTATTAAGTTTCAATAGGTGTATCGATATGTTTACCGGTATTATAAGATATTTTAAATCAAATATTGTAAATATAATGTAATATTATTATAAGGCCTTATTAAAGTTAAAATTTAAAGACGAACAAATAATAACTAATATGAATATGAACGAACAGATTATTATACTTTGCTTGAAAATATTAATGAAAATTATATATATCAAAGAAACTTCAGACAACATACTATTCGAATTAATTTATTTCTTTAGTTGAAACTTAAATTTTAAAATAAACAAAATATTCTAATACATATAAGAGAAACGTGATGTAAGAGAAAATTATTTAGTTATATAATATGAGTTTGGTATTGGTTAAATTAAATGAACAAATAATTAAATGTAATATATTATAAACAGGGTTCGAATATAATAGCATCGATAATACTAAAATATACGCTATAATATGACCAAAAAAACCTTAAAATATGTTCTATAAACATGCCCTAAAAACAACAAAAATAGCAACAAAAAAAATTAAGTCAAAATTTTATTAAATATATTATATTATTTTATGAAGTAATACAATAATAAAAAAAAACTAAAATTACCATCTTGTGTTAACAATTTCAAAAAACTTATATGTGGTACGTCTTGTTTTATGTATACCTATTTTTACCTTAATGATGATATTATTTGTATGTAATTGTTTCTCCGTTTTAAGTGTTGAGTAATGTTAAACTTTTTGTCACTATTGACTTTACGTTCACACAATTTGCAAAAAAGAATACTTGCGTCAATCGTAAAAACAACATTGCCACCAAACTCAGACACGAAATATCTAAGCTTTGAACAGTTCGATGTTTTAACTTTCGGCATTTTATGTTAAGTATCAAAACAAAAAAACAAACAATACACAATCGAGTAATAAACGAATATGAAACGAAATCAAACAAAACGGAAAACTGACATTGAAATCATGAAATACGTACGATAGACGATAATATAGAACAATAATAAAATAAAAATAAATAAAACAGATAAGGGGGCATGAATGTATAAATCGTATATTTGATATCGCCAGGCTATTATTCTAGTAACATGTTTAATAGTAAATACCATAGTATTTATCAATTATTAATATGAAACAAAAATGTGGTAATTTTTGGATTTACCTAAATGAATACTATTTTTCATTCAATTTAAACGAAATTTATGAAAAATACAAAATAAAGCATAAAATCATGAATATTAGCAAAAAAAATCACTAAAACATCAAAAATAGCACTAAAAATCTTAAATACTTCAAATATGTAAAAAAATAGCAAAATAAAATTTATAATTTGGAGTCCCTGGTTAATAACACACATGAATAGCTCACTCTGCTATCTTTATCTTTATCCTACAATAAGTAGCAAATGCTATAAAATCCGAACTCTGATTATAAATATTTAAATTTTTATTAGAATATCCTGATTTGTATTATTAAATTTAGAGTACACTAAATGTGAACATTATACAGTATTGTTCTACCGTAGACGTTACAACATTTAAATTTCTAACCTATCATTAGGAAACGAAAAAAATATATAAAATAATATTCGCCACCATGCATATTATCATATAATAAATCATTAGGATTATCTTATAATCAAGTAGAATATTTATAAAAATCTAAAAAAATTATTGCGTTTGAAAATTATGAAACTTATTTTTATGCATTTAAGTAATTATATTTTAAATATAAAATAATTAATAATTAATAATTTGGAAACAGTTTTGTTACAGTTTTCATTATTTCAGTGAATTTTTAATTATACAGGATATAAAAAAAAATAATTTATGCAGTTGCTAAGGTATAATTACTTTTTAAATGTTTGTTATTATATTCGTGCAACGTTAACATCTTAAGGTAATATTTGGTTTAAATAATATTCTATGTTTCTATATTATTGTGCTTACCCCATACGAGTAGCTCCCAAACTCAGGCATCATTAAACATTGAATATTCTAATAAATGAAAAATAAGTAAAATAATTTAAATAATTATAAAAAAAATTTATATTTTTCACATAGTACAAAGTATTTGATATATAATACATATAGTACAAATACATAATTATTAATTAGTCTCTTTTTAAACAACATCAAGCGACAAAATATGTAGAAAACAATATCAAGTTCGTATTGATTTTTATTAGGCAATATTAGACGCCGTCGGCATTTTGAATTTGAAAAAATAAATGCATTACCTTATGTTTTCATTTATAACAAATGTGTAATTTTAAACACCATATTTTACTTGTCAAGAGAAACGAAAGTAAATAATAGAAAACGGGAACGCACACCATCATAGGTTATAATTTTGTTATAAAAATAGCTTTTCTGTACATTCTTAAAATTTCATACAAATGAATGTATGAGACACATATTATATACCACGAACTTTAAACTAAACGTCTAATGGCTCGTTTATTTTTCCAGGCTTTAAATTATTTTAAGTCGACAAAAACAATTTCCTATCAGGAAACTTGTATCATCATAATAGTTTATTGTCACCATTTTTGCGTGGTGAAAACGTACATATTCTTGCACAAACGAATAAAGTTTATTGAATATATTTTTCAACACAATTAAAATAAAACTCATATGTATAAACCATTATCTCCACGCGTTTGATACGATACTGTATTGTTTTAGACGGATCGTTTGAAAAATATTAGATTAGATAAAATTTTCAGGAACAAACATTATAATTTATCTTGAGATGGAAGAATATTAAAATTATAACAAGCGTCTATTACATTTTTAAACTTTGAACAATATGTATGCTCAGCAATTATTCTTCTAAATGCAGAGTCTAAAACCGAATCTTCACACTATACTTGTAGGTATAGCCCTAGAATATAATAATATACATATATTACATTTTCAATCACAAGTCATGCTAAATATGTATCATATTATTTTATGTAAGGTTTCTTCTATTTATATAAAATTAAACTGACTTTGACTTGGATTATACTTACATTTTAGGGAGTTAACATACGATAAGTAAATGAAAACGAAAGCAATGGTGATTTTATACACAGCATCAGTGCATTATTATACTTTTTTATGAGCGTAATATGTATTTTTCAACACACACATCGAGAACATAATATATGCGTACATGTATTTTGTCACTCCAAGTATTAACTATTTAACGTTAGATAATATTTTTTTGAAAATTAAACATTGAAATCGATTAAGATATCAATTATACGGTGGAAGACAGATTTGGACAAAAAATCTTGTTCTCATAAAACGTGTTCGAGTTCCCTTGAAATTCAACTATTTCATTAACAGCCCAAAAAATGAGCGTTAATTTCTAAGAATATTGCAAAATTTGACCTTTCTCGGTTTACTATTTTTCATTAAAAATACAACGCGTGGTAATCATACCATGTTTTTCGGATTTCTTTAAATGTTTCAATAATCGAGTTTAAATCGTTTTATTGCATAAAATTAATTAAATTCATGTGAATGTAAAAATGGGTCATTGGACAGTGTAATTGAACTGAATAATCCGGATTTGACAAACCCGAAAACGCCATCCACCAATCGGCATCATTGCTTAGAAGTATGATATCTACGTATAATATAACATCTGCGAATCAGATATGGCGCTTCAGACGTGTAAGTACGTGTGACGCAGTGTACTTAGTGACGAAAATCAACGAAAGCAGATCGATCACGTTCTCCGGACGAACACTCGATACCCTTTCTTCGACGAGCACACCGGGAACCCCTAACACGCGTCAATTATCAATCCGTTTTATCTGTCCGGCTGCAATGAACGGAAATGAAAACGTCGAGACACGGAAGAAAAATAATACGTACCTGTAAAATGCCATCATCGATGCAAAAAGAAAAAAAAAATTTCGCGAAATTAACTATGTGCGCACGAAAAAAAAGAACACGCTCTCCGATCGTGAAACAATATACCACGTGAGTGGATAGATTATTTATTAATTTTTTTCCTATTACGATTATTCATTAGTGCATCGCAACGGAACGGTTGATTGTTTGTTTATGTTGTGATCGATGTGAGCGAAGTTCGTATTCGACGCACTCTCGGCGACGGCGGGATTGCGCGCGAAACCGCTCGACCCGTAAAACGAAAGCTACTGGCCGCGTGTGCCGCGTCAGCTTCTGTGCTTGGACGTCGCCGTCATCGCGAAAGGGCGTCGTAGCGCGCCACGCACAAGGGTCGGGCGGGGTCGCACGTGAGCGCCGGGCGAGCAGCGGGCCGACGGGTGACGCGCGGGCGCACAGCGGCAGGTAAACAATACAACAGTTATTATTATTACTGTTGCTGTTGTTTGTTGTTGTTATCGTGTGCGCACTCGAAACGAGCTGTCGGATACGTGATAAAAAGTTAATTTCACCGTGGACCAATGTTTCTCAAACTGTGATTGTCACTAATCAATTTTCGATCGACGAAAAGTTTTTTTTTTTTTTCATTATATAGTTTATAAGAATCGTATGACTTCTATTTTTTAACTATTTGAACGCAAGCTATAAAAGTATAAATTAAGTTATTTTCGGTATTGTTTTAGTATGAATCCCAAAAACGATCGACTAATTTTAAATTATGTCCAATTCTTTTGATCGAAGCTTTAAAGATACTGCTACCTTTCTCATATTTATACATTTAAGAAGTTGGATTATTGACAATGGCAGCCCTATAAAACATGTTACAACTATTAAACTTCTTGCGTTTGAAAATAGCTAAGATTCACGCCGACGTTGATACTGTTATCTCCCATAGCGGAAAACAAACGCACACTTCTCGTAGGTACACATAATTTTTTAAAATTCATTGGTAACATTTTATTCCTTATTTACCAATATTATATAAATTAATAACATTTTGTTTTTAGATTCCGAGTGAAGCAAACACTCTAACAGTTGATGATAAAAAAGAATATATACCTACCAGGTAATATACCTAATCTAGATTAAAAACCGTAAAATATAAAAATGATATATTTTTATTCTGAAATTTTGTTCAGAATCGTTTTACTGAAGGAATGAGTTATAATTTCTTTAAAATTCAATACATCCATTATCATTATCCAATCCGAGGATCGAAGGGGTGAAGGGCAAACTTCCGCTACCATTATCTTACCATTTTTAGAACTGATTTGACCATCTGTAAACCATTGTAGGGTCATTATAGATTTTCGAGGAAAAAAATTGGGTCGTGATACTGATAAGATTGAAAACCACTGCCGCTAATAATTTATTTGTTGAATATGTTAAAGAATCTGTTTTTTATTCTCCCGTAGTCTGTTTATTACGTATCGTTTATTACGAAAATGCGTTGAATAAATTGTTTAATATAACTACAAATAAAATAAAATCAGCATATTTATTTTCTCAGTAATTTCGTAGCATGGAAATAGTTACATAATATATCCCATTGTATGCATATCCGTCAAAATCAATTAGCTATGATATCCGTATCGTAAAATTATACGAGTGTATTTATTTCTTTACATAATATTCGTATGATCATGAATAATACTGTTATTACTTAAACGAGTAGTATAAATTTATGTTGAACATCATTTTTTGAAATTTATTACAGCATTATAGAATAATTATGTCAGATTATAATATTAACAATGCTGTTCAGTCGGTATTAGGACTCTGAAAAATACTATGGACCCAGGAAAATAAAAGATCATGCTCACGATAAAACTGTTGAATGAACTCATTTTCTTCCCCCTTGTATGTCAAAACGCAGTTTCAGTTATTGTTCATAAATGCGTTGTACCGTTTAAGAAAGTTGCGTTCACAGCATAACACGTCAATTAAAATAGTTTTCTCTGATAGGCCGATACACAAGTTATACTTAGGTACACCATTTTGTATACATAAATAATTTTTTTTTATATCGATTGATAAAATGAGAGAAAAAAAGTAAATAATAAAAAAAATTAACAATAACTGCACATAAAAAAAAAAAATACTTTTATTACAATGGTGCCAAAAAAGCTTCCGAGCGTAAAACTCGGACTAAAAAAATAACGAAAGAGGAAAAAAATCAAATATGAGGAATACAAATCAGTAAACGAGTGCATCAGCACTCGTGTATCGCACAATATTCATAATAAATAAAAAAAGAAGGAAAGAACTGGATAATAAACCAGTAATAAAAAAATATGTATACTCTATAAAAAAAACTAAATAACAGGAAAGGATTTATTTGTAAACCGGCCAAAACTAAGATTTAAACGTTACATCTCATCACGGTTGCACTTACATACATTCGCTCAATAACGCTCAATACTTATCCCTATATCTTTATCATATTTTAAAACGTAAAGCGATTTCTTTGAACAATTACTAGTATATCTGAAATTCTACTGGACAGTTTCCATGATTTTTATTGAAATGTAAGTACTCGGTGTGCAGATGAGTCATCTAATGAAAAAAGTCTGAAAATTAGTTTGAAAAAAAAATAGTTTTACTATATTTTGTTTTAGTCTTTTAGTTTATTTATTTAGTTGTCCATGTAGTTTGCGTAACAACGAGCATTTCTATTTCTATTATAAAAGTAAAAAAAATATTATATTTTAAATTTCATCATTTCCCGTATAGCTCTAACAATAAAAAACAAAAAAAATGGAATATCAATTGATTCTCATATTAGGAAATGGAAATTATTTATTTAGTTCCGTGGTATATATAATATTTGGTAGTCGAGAAATAAATCGAGATATTCAAATAAGAGTTGTTACTTTGATGATAGATAATTGGGAAATGTATAAAAAATTTGTCATTGGTGATTTTTCGTATAGATTACCTATTTATAATTATAATTATTACGAACATTTAATGATCACAAATGGTGAGTATGCTGATCACGTCGAGCTTGGATGTATTAGTCTTCTTTAACCAGATATTACATTTCGTATGTGATTTATTGATCTTACTGAATTTATAGATTATGGTTCAGGTGCTATAATATTTAATTTACTGTTTCCTAGCCCTGTTGATGCATGATATTATAGTTTTTTAGTTTTCAGTAATAATATGAATATTCAAAATTAATTTTTTCTACCTAAATAGATTCAAACACAAGAAAGTAACATTGTAACACATTACAAGAGTAATAAACATTCTTTAACTGGAAAATCGTAATGAAAAAAAAAATATGTATAATGTATAAATTTAACAAAAACTTAAATAATTAATTATAATTATTTATAAATTATGATATTTTATTAATTTATATTCCTACTAGAAAATATGTATGAACCACTGATTTACCAAGTTTTTTGTTTTAAATTGTTTATGGAATTAAGGTTTATTATTTAAAATACTTTTATGTATCGGCGGAACCTTGAAACACTTACAAAATATACTTTTCTAACTTCATTTTGTAAATCTGTAACTGTTTTTTCAATTATTTTATATACTGTTGAGAAATTTAAAAAAAATACCCGCAAACACTAACATGATTACATTTTCTATTGGCAAAAAAAATTTTGTTGATTATCTGAGCAAACCTTGTGATCGAAGTATTGTCAATTAGTAAAAAAAATATAAAAATATTTTATAATATAGATATAACAATTCATTGCTTCACTTAGAATCTAAAATCAAATTTATTTTGAATTATGTGGTAATCAATAAATTGTTATACTCCAGTAATAAACAAAAAAATTATTTGATTTAGTTAAATTCCCGATTCTGTATGAATTAACACTCACTTATATTATTATAATTGTATTCTAATAGAATATGAAAAGTTCACTCCAAGAAGATATTTATACTTTTTGAATGTAGTTGTATCTCGTCCAAATTCTTATTGATTTTTTTTATCTAAATTTAGTATTAGTTTAAGACAATAAGCCAAAGGAACTATCTATTTTTTTAATTCTATCTTTCTCTGACCAACAGAAAAAGCACATACATCTACTTTCTTCCAAATAGAATTACTTTATAAGTTTTCTAAATATTCTCTATTGATTTTTTTTAATTTTTTAAATTCCATAAGAAATGTATTAAATATAATTTTTTATCGTGTATTGTTATACAAATTTAAACGCATTTATAACACTGTGTTAGCACCGTAAAAATTCTTTACGTTACTCGAAGAAAGATTTATCTCTTATACTACACCAACAAGACAGTTCGTTGTAAAATAAATATATCAAATACTTGCATTTTAATAATTTAAATAATTTATTTTGTTTTGTTATTTATAAATAAAATAATTAAATTTCGTTGACATTCATTACTCCAATGAATTGATGTAGTAAAATATGTCACGAAAACAATACAAATGTCAAATTCGGTTAAAGCAATGAAACCTACAGTAAAATATCAGCTTAAAATATAATAAATATTATTAAAATTATTAAATTAATATTAAAACAGTTAAAATATAATTATGTTTAAAAAAAAATGCCTGTAACTTCAACATTTTAATTAATGATTTATTTTATTGCAAGGCTTTTTGAACAGGTTTTCTTAAATCGTTGACGAATATCGTTTACTTTTTTTCCAATAAGAAAAAGTACGTTGTATTAAACCACTTGTTGATGTCAATTTATAGTGCTCAATGTCAACAGTAAATACACAAATTTTTCTCTGCTGTCATATAGGTACAAAATAATTGGTTATGCATGCAGCCACGAGCAGTCTTCCTCTCCAGTATTTCAACACAAAGTGAGTCTAAGAAAAAAAAAACCGTATGAAATAAAAACAATAACAATTACAAAGGCTATTATAATGCAATATTATAGTATAAGCATGCAAATATATTGCGTTCGACATTAGAAACAGCTTACGTAAAATCAGTAGTCAGAAATTTCCAAGCTGGATTCGGAACCATTTAATAGCGATTTAATAAACTACTCGTCTCAAACTTCGTGATTTTCACGCAGCGTTATCTGTGCCTCGTCTCACTTAATCTATATTTTCTTATGCTTAATATAGTTATGCCTTGTAGAGTAGGCCAGTAGAATTGCTACAATATATAGAGAGAAAAACATACCGATGCGCATTCAACTGTAAATTAATTACGTACATAAGATAGAAGTCTATTTTTTTTGAATAACAATGTAGTCCGGCCACTATGTTTAAGTATTCGTGTACATCAGTGATTCA